ATTAGAAAATTGAATGGGGAAGGAGAGAGAACAGAGCATCAGTCCACTTGCTGAGAGAAACACATGAATCGGAGTGAGCTTAAAACAGAGAAGGCAATTGTTTCCAATCATGTTTGCTGTATTGCTTTTCTGTTGCCCTGGAGACTAAACTGCAGATCAAATGCAAGGTACCTTGCATAACCTTTCTCAGATTTCAAAGCCTCAGTAAATAACCTTATGCAAATCTGAGAACTATGAAATCCTTGTATTTAATTGTGCCCCAGTGCCTGAATTAAGCAACAGTATTATTCAAGTCACCTAACAATACTGATTGTTTCAAAGCAGCTTTAGAGTGACAACAGAAATATTATGCATTTCGGGTGAAGTCAGTTCAGTTGTAAAGAGCATCAATTATTAAGTTAGTTTATTGCATCTATAAAACAGTTCTCCAAAAAAAAAAAAAATAAAAAAAAAGATGTCATCATCCAGCTCAGTTCAGTGCTTATATAACAGCATCAGTACAGGCAGATTAAAGCAAGCCAGAGGCTGCAGTGGCAAGGAAACCAAACTCCATCAGGTGACACAATGGAGAAAAAAAAACAGGATCAGTCTGGGGCCCAGTTCTCCTCTGGCTAATGAATGAAAATAATTGTGTGATTTATGATGCAGGATCACAAGTCAAAACACAAGTCAGATTGGAATCGGTAGCATTCAAATTTCCTTTTGCTTGTAAATTGAATTCATCATGTCGGCTGGGTTTTGAAATTAAAATGTTGATAATATCGTTGTAAGTTACTGCTTGGTTTTGTTACATTTATCGTGAAATTAACAAGTTAATTTTACAAACAAATTCATTTTCTATATTCAGCAAAGTAAACAAACAGATTGAAGGCCTCTTCTTACCAAAAGTGTATTTTCTGCAAGCTTCAATGAACCTTGGAGAAGGACACCAATAAACCAAATAAGCACCCATGAAAAAAAAAACATTAAAGAAAAAAATTCACAGATTTCTCGTGTTCACTATGTGTTGTCACGTGATGAAACTAATATTTTAGTTGGCCTAGTTTTTGCACTGCCCATTGTCCTGAAATGTCACTCACTCCCGCCGTGGAGAAACAGGTGTTTTAAGGCTATATTTTCTTGTAAATGGAAATTCTAGAATAATATCTGTGTATGTTGTGGGTGTTTTTTATTTGTTAAGGGTGTTAAAGGTTTTATTTGATAAAGGTAACTACATGATGCTTTTTTAAGGCTACGAATGTAAATGCTTATGTTAGAACATAGCAGAATAAAGATGAGTAACTTAGCTTTTTTTTTTCTCACTTCCGCCATTGAGATAGCATATAAACGGCTATTCTGTCAGTGAGAGACTATGTACATGTTCGTTAGCTTTGCTATTATAAAGCTGTGGTCAGAGTCGGTCTTGCAATTTTTTTTTTTTTTTATAGGCCTATTTAACCCTTGATCAAATTTCTTAAGAGTCGCTCGTCTTGCAACAATGTGTAATGTTTTATGTGTTTATTGTGTGGGTTGCATTACTTCATGTTAATAGCTAACAGAAAAGGCAGTAGCAATAATAAATATAGGATATCTAATATCCAAAAAAAAGTCCCCATACCTACCTAGTGCCCACCCATTGAAAATAAATGCCCCCCTGCTAAAAGCGGTCTGAAGCCGGCTCTGCAACAACATAGAGCTTGTTTTCATTTTATACAAGCTGCGATACAGTAGGACCACGTGGAGATGCCAAAAACTCCTAAATCAACCGCCTTGACTTGACTGTATAAACCAACAATTACTAAACACATGCAGCAACGTACTCACATGACAGATCAAACACTATCCTGAGTATCTCTGCTCTGGAAACAACACAAATTCTGAAATATAAATGCAGCGTACGATCAATGATCTAGATCGCACATGTCTGGTTTGTTGTTTGAGCGTCAATATAAAAGACTCTCACATGCCCTACTGTACGACTCCTGTACGTGACCAAAATCACGCTCTTCAGAAACAATCACTGAATATGACAGAGCTCGTATTTTAAAACAAAGCACTCACTGGAATTAATAATTCACTAAAATTGCAATGTGAGTCTTTATTCTCTCTGATATCTTTGATGTAATCAGGTTGTCGCTCGTCTGTGACATCATGGACCATCGTCATCCAATTAATTGCTGTGTTCAACACAAGCTTTAGACACCGTTGATGCTGAGGGCAGTCCCCATACCATCATTATCAGACACAGCATTGAAGATCCACTTTGAAAGGGAACTTGTAAAAGATTCAAGATTCATGTGGTGAACACAACTGAGGATCCTATAAAATCTCTTGATCTCTAGTTTTCTTTTCTGATGTATTTCCTATGGAAACAGGACGCTTGTGTGCAATGTATTTAATAGCTTGAATGTCGCTTTATGATCGCAACATAACAATGTAAATAAATGTAACACAGAGTTCATGAAAAAAGGAAAGGAAATAATGCAAGAACTTGTACCTAGGGCTTCTGTATAGATGAATTTGAATTGTATATCTGCTAAAAGTGAAATATCAACATCGATGAGTACACAAGCTTCAAATCTAACCTACATAAACTTAAAGCCACATAACTCTGATTTCATGGGGTCTTTAATCCCTGACATCTCTTTTTCAACCTTTGTTTTCCGTCGAAACCGGAGAAATTAGAAAGAAAACTAAGAAATCTGTTGTGTGGCAATCCCATCCATTGGTGGTTCTGCTTTAGAGGATTGAGGAATCATTCTCCGGCAATTAGCCTCTTGCTCTGGAGTCTGCTGTAGAGATTCCCTATGGAATGACTGCCAGCACTTTGAGAGCATCTTTAGTGTGCACCCAACCAGTAATGCCACACAAGATGACATTTTGCACTTACAGGAGAAATGCCTATTAGCTGTGACAAAAACTAATGTTAATGTTCATTGTTGTCGATCTGAATTAAATTCAGCCCCACTGCAATTTCTGAACGTACTCTTTATAAGTTCAATGAATATTGACTGATATAAAATTGTGGGGTTAGTTGAATTTGTTTGTTTTTGAGTCCCTTTGATAAAACGTGCTAAACAAAGCTGCATTTATGTAATAAAAAATACATGAAAACAGTAATATTGTGAATTATTATAACAATTTAAATTGTAATCACAATCCATTTAGCTATATGGGTTTTAAAATGTAACATATTCCTGTAATGTCAAAGGAAGCTGAATTTTGTGCATCATTACTCCAGGTTTTAGTGTTACATGATCCTTCAGAAATCATTATTTTATGCTGATTTGCTGCTCAATGTTGAAAACATTGTATATTTGTGTGTCAAATTCGTTGTTGAATAGAAATATCAAAAGAACAGCATTTATTTGAAAAAGTCATCTTTTATAAATGTCTACAGTCAATTTTGATCAGTTTAATGCATCCATACTGAAAAGCATTTCTTTTTTAAAAAAAATTGTACTGACCCCACATTTTTTGAACAGTAGTGTATATTCACATTCCTACATGTGTCAGGAAATTCCTCATGTTGGTGAGTAAACATTATTAAAAGGTGACTTTTAATCTGTGATTTTTCTACATGCAAACAAGTTACTGATCTAATGTGACTACCATAAACTGAGTACTACTGACACTTTCTTGTCAGTATTATTGGAGTCTTCAACTGTGGGGAGATATTAACTATGACAGCCCTGCAAGAGTGAACACAACCCATTTTGCTGTGTGACATTTTAACTTAAGAAGCTTGGTCTGATATCAGATGCGATGACAACAGTGGCAGCACAAGACAATTATACTGCAAACTCCTCAACTTGTCACATCAAATACAATTATGATCATTAATTATTTGTATGTTAATACTTGGCTTTTCAAGAATAAGGTCAAATCCCAGTAAATTTAAAAGCCTAAACTGAAGAGAAATTCCTTATTAGCTTGCGGTTTCATTTTTTTTTTTTTTTTTTTCAAGTCTTAAACCTTAGGAATTGAAAAGGGTGGAGCGGAAATGTTAAATCGGCGAGATTTGACATCATACAATTGAGGAGCTTTGCTGCAGGGATTGAGTTTAGGCCTACTGGTTAGAAGCATGAGTGTGTTCATGCCGCTGTTATTCCGGAGAAGGTCCAGGCTTAGGGATGAATCAGGGGACTTTGCTGGAAGTGCAGAAATGCGTGATGGGGATTACTGGAGCCAAAGTGCCAGTGGAAAATTGGATTTTTAGCAAAGAGCCATTAACACAGAAAAAAAAAAATGAAATGTGTTTGGAAAGTTTCACAGATGCTCATTAATTAGTGGTATTAATGTAAAAGAAACAATCATAGTGTATGAACTCCAAAAATTTATTATTTTCTTGATAAAAGGCGCTGTGTGTGTGTTGAGGGAAAATGGAAGGATTCAGTGGCATATGTTAATTGTGTTTGAAAGTGTGCCTGAGCCATTTGCATGTTCCTATGCCAAATAGCAGGGATTCACATAGGACATCTGCTCTCTTTACTTTTAAGCGCTTATCTGTTGCACATAGTCTAATTATCCGCATTTGTGTGAGGCCTAGTATTTGCAGGTGTGAAAGTGTGCCTCACTTCATTGTGTGTTCCTGAGCTCTTCTGGTGCTCATAAATCCACTCATGGTGTGAAATAGCTCATGGCGGTCACACCTGACACACCTGTAGTAATCCAATGTGTATGCTCAGGATCCGGCAGCCTTTCTCTTGTTTCTGACATCTTATTTCTGCCACATAGAACACGAATGTTACCAGCATCCCCTCGGCGACACCATATGTATATCCATCCGGATAAAAGGCCTATTCACATCAGAATAGAAACAATAGATTCCCATGCTCCTACCCTTGTGAATATTCAACACAATTTAACTCACTTATTTTTAAGAAGGATACTCCCATCAGACAAGAACAATAGGCAGAAGTTTCATTTTGTTGTTGTTGATATGCATTCAGTCTAAATTCGCCGTAAATCTCAGTATTCACTGTTTTAATGTTTCCCCTTTTTTCTTTCTCCTCCTTTAGTGAGTAAACTGAAGGTACACAAGTCCAACCAGAGTCTGCAGTTTCTGGAGGACAGTCGGGTGCGTGTCAATTGCTCCGTCACGTCTCAAACCAGCCCGGATTCTCAGCATGCCGTGCTCTGGTACGCCCGGAAGGCTGAGGCCGGAGAGCCGGATGAGCTGCTGTTGAAGATCAAACACACTGGAGCATTTGAGTACGGAGCATACGCTGAGGAGGAACGTCTCCGCAGCCGTGTGCAGTCAGAGACACTCTCTCCTCGGCTATACGGGCTCACACTGCATCGTGCCGAGACCAGCGACTCTGGAACATACTACTGCCTAGTGGAGGAGTGGCTAACGGACCCTGATGGAGCCTGGTACCGTCTGGCACAAGACTTCTCCGGCTTCACACATGTGGTGGTGAGACAGCCAGGTAAGAAAGTGGTTGCTTGTGAAATTGACGTATATATTTCTATGTAAAAATTCTTTGAAAAATATATTCCCATGTTTTGTTTGCAAACTTGTTACTGCATGATTCCCCATTACTAGAAAATGTGACCCAAGAAATTACATGATTTGGAGCACTTCATCAATTCACTACTCCCAAAGTATTTTAATTTTAAAAAAATAATATAATAATTTTAAAAAATGTTTCTTGAGCAGAAAATCATCATATTAGAATGATTTCTGAAGGATCATGTGACACTGAAGTCTAGAGTAATGATGCTGAAAATTTAGCTTTGCCATCACATGAATAAAATATATTTAAAAATATATTTAAAGTTGTAATAATATTTTGCAATAGTACAATTTTTATACTGCATTTATCATCATAAGAGGCTTCTTTAAAAAATAAATAATAATAATGGTATTTTGTATCAAATTTTGGTGTGGTTTTCTTTCTTTTTTCATTTATTGAATTTATAAAAAAAATTCATTTAGTTTTAAGTCAACTCGTTTTTGTTTTATTTTTTGCAAGAATTGCAAGAATTACACAAATCATGGTGTTAAACTTTAATTTAGTGACAAGGTTCCAAAAACTGCTTAAAATGAACAAAAGCAAACAGCTCTCCTGAGTTTGACGATCAACAATTTCTAATATTTCTTAGAAGAATTTTTAGTTCTTTTTTTTTCCTGTTCGTGTTGGGCAGTATTTACAGCGGCACCCAACTAGCAGAGCTGGCCTTTATTCCTAAAGCAGACTCGGGAGCCTTTGAGATTTAGTTGTAGGTGTTGCCTTCCCATGGGCTTATCAGGCCATCTGGCATGAGAGATTCGGAAAGAGCAGCATGAAAACATTCTCCCCCTGAGACCGCCATGGAGCGCAGCCATCCTGAGCTCACGCCTGCCCGAGCTGAATCATTCATCAGCATGTGTGCATTTATGAGAAGAAGACATAAAGACGGGAGCTTTGTTCGTGTGACTCCTCAAATGCAAACATATAGGGTATCACCCCCTTAGGGAGGCCCCCTCAACATGGGCCACAGACCTTAGCACTCACGAGGGGAGTCAGAACCTCATCACGACTGCCGGAGCCCAGAGGCTTTACTTATGACGGCCGTCTGAATGGCACACAGCTGCTGCTCCTCTATTCACTCCGCGCAGCTGCCCATGAAGACCCCTAATGCAAACTGCCCCGGCTATTCATCTATTCACACGCCTCTTTACCGATAATGTCCACATTTTCCAGTGACATCATGACCTAGCTTCAGTATGCAGGATTAGTATGGTTCAGGGGACTATGTCTGCGAGGTTTGCACTACTCTGAGGCCACCTGTGCTCTTTGGCAGCATTGTATCAAAGCTTTGAGAATCAGTGAAGACAGATCTCATCTCCACACAACACACATTTCAATATTACTGCCCTACACATGGGTCGTCGGCTCACCGCTGTTACACAGACACGTATTTTTGTGTAGTTTGTCCTCGGGTCCGTTAAGCAAGTTGCTTTAGGAGCACAGGTGTCCAAGACATCTGCTCCTCTGAAACTCAGCAAGGTCAAGAAAAGTGTGTTTTGGCACTTTTTTTTTCTGGTCAGATAACTTCAAAATACAATAAATTATTCTAAATAAATAATGCAATCTCAAATTCACATGAATATGCTGATAATTTTGGAAGCCCTTCTCATAGTTGTTTATGCATAGTTGTTTTATTCTTAAGCATGAATGTGTCTCTCTTTGCATACGGCATCTTTTTCTCAGCACTGCTTCAGTCGAGCTGTCTTTTATGAATTTCGTGTTTTATATTTCTTTCTATTTTCTCATCTCATATATTCACAGTATAAATCTCTATAATATATCTAAAAATGTGCTTGAAAATTCCAGTCTTGCAAGTGTGAGTGCCAAATCACCTCCCTGCTGCATGATTGCCTGAAATAGCATCCATATAAATGTATTTACAAATAGATAGTTGATGAAAGGTTCACCACCTCCTAATCTGCCATCTTCAAAGTCAAATTGCAGCGCTTTTACATGAGCAGAAGATAAGATGAGTCCTTTAAATTCTGCCGGAAAATACCCTCTTATTTTTAGCCTGATGCAGCTCAGACCCTGCTGAAGTATCTTACGACTTCTCGCGCAAAATGTGATGATTCTCACCTTCAGTTGAGAGTGACATATTGAACAGCTAGTTCCATATGTTCTGGAAGCGTGATGCCCTGCTAGAGAATTAAGTTCATTTTAGGGTGTGTATGTACTTTTAGAACATTTCATGAGTTGGTTCTCTCGTTATTTTCTCTCCCTCATGTCATTTCAAACCTACGTGACTTTCTTTCATGTTGAACACACACGAAAAAAGACATTTGTTTTGGTAAATTTGTGTTGCTTTGTTTAAAAAAATGTATGTGAATGGTGACCAGGGACTGTCACACTCTTAAGGCCCATTCACACCAAGACAATGCTCGAATCTCCCACGGAAATCCAACAGTACCACTGGAATTAAAAACATTGTTACAAGCTAAAGGCTTTGAATCGATCTATGGCAAGCAGATAGTTTTGGACACTGGCTTATGTATTTTCTCAGATATGTATTTTGGATAATTTTTTAACCCCCAAAAAGCTACGGACTGCAGCTTTAACATGTATTTTTTCCTGTGACGTCAAAGCTGAATCTTCAGCATCATTACTCCTGTCTTCAGTTCTACATTGATTCTTCAGAAAGTATTCTCTTTGAAAGAAAGTATTTTAATTTTGGGGTAAATACTTCCTTTAATTAAACCAGACTGTGTTCTGCTCTAAATAAATGTAACAACTAGTTTGCAACAGATGCTACCCCAGTCTCTGAGGAACAGAAATGTTGTCATGCATTTAATGCTTTTTATTGCAGTGGTGAAGTTACAGGTGGAGGAGGCAGAATCCAATATCACCGTACCTGAAGATGGATCAATCCGGCTGGGCTGCAGCATTCCATCTCAGTCCTCAAAAGATTCCCGCTTCTCTGTATCCTGGTACGTGTACCGTTTGGGACAAGAAGAGGAGGATGAGCAAGAGTGTGTCTTTTCCATCGGTCATGATGCAGTGTTCGGTAATGGGAACTGCAGCCCTACAGAGGAACCCGGTCCAAACTCTCGCCTGCAGTTTGAACGCACCACCTCTGACCTGTACAGTCTGACCATCCAGAAAGCTCGGCCCAGAGATGCAGGCAATTACTACTGCCATGTAGAGGAGTGGCTGCTGAACCCACGCAATGCATGGTACCGCCTCGCCACCAACAACTCAGGAGTCACCATTGTCAATGTTATGGAGCAGGGTGAGGTTTTTCACTTTATTACCACTGACCACATCAACACAATGTACTTCTGTTTTTTTATATTTTCTTTTGCTTTTATACTGTCCACCAGGCCCTGTTTAGGCCTAGTATGAAGATGTACTTTAGTCAATTGGTAAATACCAATAGCTTGTTCACTTTCAACCACTTCCAGAGGTATTTGAAAACTCATTTAACTGGATTGCTATCAGTTTGTGGTCAAATCCGTCTGAGCAGCCACAAAAGACCCTCTATTGTCGGCTTACTGACTTACTGTAATGTGTAAACATTATGGGAAGCATGCTAGAAAGACAGGATTTAAACTTTGTCGGCTGAAGACCCAAGTTTGGCCCATATGTTTTTCCATTGTCTCCTTTCAAGTTCACATGTAAGTTACGTGAGCTTATTTTGACCAATTGATCAAAAGATCTGAAAAAAAAAACATGCATTTGCCTGCCCATAGACTCTTCTCTCAAAGAAAAGGACGGAAGTGGTTGAACGTGGATGAAAGAGATGGATTAAAACACAAGGTGTACATTGAAATGTCTCCCTCATCTACTTTTGATCTGATATACCAAGACGCAGGTTCTCAAGTCTCACGCATTGGCCGTGAGACACACGCAATCCAAACAGTTCACACGCTCACACGCCACACCGTGTATTTCTCACGCTGAAAAGGCAACGTTAACCAAGTTGTCCTGCAAGCTTTATATATAACGTTGTTTACGAGCCGTAGGCACACAAAGTGAAGTTTCCTGCCGCCAGCATGTATCTCTCGGACAGGTTGCGTTCGTTAGGTAATATAGACGCGCGAAACCAACAACATCGGGTGAACACACGTTGAGATGGAGAAGGGAAGAAAGCTCGTCTAACATTTTTAGGCTAGAACATTTGATATATAGCTCATCGTATATATATTGATGCAGTCAAAAACTCTACAACTACTTTGCAACTACCAGGCCAGAAGCTTTGGCTCAGTTTGGCTAGCTTACATTACAGGTGAATAAGGGAAATGTTAGTGGGGATGGGAAGCAATGTATTTCTTCATTTTATTTCAAATTATATATTATGCTGTATTAGTCTTTCTAGTTACATTAAGGCTACATGTATTAAAGCAGAGTGCTCTGGGTATAATTTTATATCCTGTCAAAACATACATTAATCATGCCATTGCATTTGTATTTTTCAAAGATGTCAGGGAAAAAGCAAAAAGATATTTGTGCACACACACACCTTAATATTCTAATATGCCCATTTATTCACAATGTCCCACCACACACTAATCATTATACCATTTCAACTAGACACGTTTGGAGCACTTTTTTATATATTTTTGTAATTTTTTTGTATTTTTATTAATATAACATTACAGAGTAGGCTATATTTGATGTGATGAATTGCTCTGTCATTTATGACATTTACCAATTGTCATAATTTCAATTTGTGCTGGTTAATTATAAACAATGGGTGAAATTGTTTGGGGGCGGGGCTTAATTGGGGCTCCTCCCCTAACCGCATGTGATCTCACTCCAAGCTTTTGATAAAACTTGAGAACCCTGAAGACGTATCTCTAGGTGTAAACAGGGCCTCACAATGCAACAATGTGCAACAGATAGATAGATAGATAGATAGATAGATAGATAGATAGATAGATAGATAGATAGATAGATAGATAGATAGATAGATAGATAGATAGATAGATAGATGATTTCATATACATTTTGTAGCACAATGGCCACAGTTTCAGCTTACTTTTTTAAATAAATACTTGGCAGTATGCAATGTATAGTACACAGCATTGTAACAGTTCAGGCTTTAAGCCCATAGTCAGCTTGTGTTAGAGCTGCATTAACACGAAAGACAGTATTTATCGCTTGTTATTTTATCACGTTCCTTTGGATATAATGTTCGCTAAAATATTTGAGCAAATATTTAACTCACAGGTTAAATTATTCTAACTCTTTGTCATGCTTTCCCCTCCTCTGTAGTCTCTACCCTACAGTCAGTGGTTTGTTCCAACGACTCCCTCTTCTACTTTGTGTTCTTCTACCCCTACCCTATCTTTGGCATCCTCCTCATCGCGGTCCTGCTGGTGCGATACAAGAGCCGCAGTTCCAGCAAAAACCAGGAGGGCAAGAACGGAGCGCCGCTCTTGTGGATCAAAGAGCCCCACCTCAGCTATTCCCCAACCTGTCTGGACCCCCCAGCCCTCAGCCTTCACCCTGGCTCTGTGGAGTAACAGTGACACAAACACGACCCCGTCTCGCTCTGAGACTCGCTCATCTACACCCTCTCTCTGACTCCCTCTCTCTTTTTCTTCTCTCCTCGTCCGTGATGAGGCCACCAGAAAGTAATCTGGTCTTCTAGCCTGGCCTGTCAATCCGTCCATGTGACTGACTAAGACCTTCCTCAGTTGAAGTTTGGCTACTGGTGGTGATGCCTAGACGTTTGCTTTGATTTCTTTTTCCTGATGTTTTTTTTAACATGATTTTTACTTTTCATTGATGCTCTTTTGTGAGAACCTTTCATTTGAGGTGGCAGTATCCGTGAGCCTTGATGTATTTTACCTGACTGACCCGGCTAACCTCGTTTTCGTTTTGCTTTTTGTATTCCCGTTAATGAATTCTGGTGGAAACCATTGCATATTATTATTTGTTATTTTGTCTGTGCTGATATTTGCTTCAAAAGACTGGAAGGTCATTGCTGGACCATGAACGTTTCTAGTGACAATGGTGTATTGATGAAGGAAGAAAGGGACAATATTTCCTCGAAAAAACCTTGGAAAGCTGACAATAGGATGTATATTGATTTTGTTTGTGTGCACGTGCCACAGAACTGCCTGTTTAAAAGGATATAGAATGCCCGCCGACTCGAGGATATACATGAACCCTAGCTCATCCTGACTGCCAAAGACCAGTTCGACTTCAAAAGCCACAAATTCAAATTCAAAGACTCAGAATAGGATTAGACGTAAGTAACGTGAGCCATCTGATGTCATCCAGTTGGAAAAGACAGTCTCGACGCTGACATGTTTCCTCATCACTGGAGCTCAGATGTTTCCACATGTCCTCAAATTACACATTTCATTTCTAGGTATTCTTGACCTTCCCAATGTTAAGATCAATTTATCTCCTGAAAAAAATCTTTTGTATTTGTGTCAGTGTGTTTGATTGTGCATATACAGTATACACAACTGACCCCACATTTAGTGAGCGTTCGCCTCAGTGTCCTCAAATTTTCATTGCAAGGTTGAATGGAAAAAAAGGGGCATGAAGGGCTCCAGAGTTTTTGAATTTCTTTTAAAATGAAGTCTTGAGGGAGACGGCTGACAGGACACTTCCTACTCAAGGGACATTCTCAGTGCCAAGACCTTTATATCATCATATGTGCCCTGTAATGATCCAGGAGGAAAGCAGGCTTCTGAATATATGAGTTATGAAGGGATTAGACATTTCGTTTTATCTATATTCTACATCACATCAAGTGTTGTTTTTCTTCTCTTTATGGGTTTGTGTTTAAAATATGGTGCCCGATTTGTTACCGCTAAAAAAAAAGTGAAAACATTGTGAAATCTTAATGCGTCGTCTCATAACCTGTAACCTGTGAAGACCTAATAGTGTGATTATATCTCTTGAGGGTGAATTTAGCATCTAAATTATTGTCTCCATTATTACGGTCTCCATAAACATTTCAAAAACACTGCCATATTTTAACACTAAAGATGCTATAACAACATTTGCTCTGCAATCCACACTAGTCCTGTTTCATTAAAGAAGGATTCAACCTCCATACTGAGAGCATTTAGAGCTTAGCTGTAGCGTGAATGAATGAATTGTATGTAAAATTTTCTTTCCTGTTAAATTTAAACACAATGTGTTGTCTAGTAACAGCAACATGCATTCTGACACCAAACTGGATGGGTCTCACTTGTAGACAACATTGGTGACCTTCCGACAGTGCAACTTTCACTCTGTTCTCGCAGTCGCTCAGAGTGTCACTGCCGCCCTCATGTGATCTCGATAGTGAACATCACAGCTTTTCTGTAAATGAAATTTAGATCCACTTGAAGCTTGTGGTCGTCTTATTTATTGAATCATGAAACTCCTAGATAGAATATGTGAACTTCATAAATCTGCATAGACAGAATGTGGCAGAAATAGCAGTGAACATTTAGGCAACTGCAGTATAATACGGCTAATTAGGGTGTCTAGAGGCTTACGAGATCTGGGAATCTTCATGAAGATGATACAGTGGTTTAGCTCTCTTTATGTACTAAATTTTGTTGAACTGTACAGTGCATGATGAGTAAGGGGGTGAGGAAGCTGTGTGTTGTTACATCATGTCAGATCAATGGCATCTTCATCATCTCCACCTTGTGGAAGGCCTCGCTGATTCAACACACCTGTTCAATTGAATAAATGTTAGCCATTCTAACACAGCGACCGTCAAATTTCAAGCAAACTGTAATTATTCGATTAAAAATGTCAGCCTTCCTTAAGCAGGAGATGTGCAATGTGGCATTGAGTGTGATATTACAGTTCTGCTGTCATTCCGTCTGTACAGAATTATTCAGAACTCTAAATAGTGTTTTTGTAGTTCAACATGCCCAGCTGAATCATAATGTTGTAAATGCATTTCGAGGGCTGCATGTCATGGCTGTGTACTGGCAGTATAGCTGCAGAAAAACAAAACAAATTACAAAAAATATTGTGTTGATGTGTGTTCAGTTCAGCCAGTGCTGCTTTTTCAAGTGGTGATTTTTATGTTCTTTTTTTAATTACCAAAATAGTGCACTGAATATTTAAAAAACTTGCCATGTTTTTTTAATGCTTCTGTGTTTTTGTTGTACTCCATTAAATTTTTGTTGTGTTTTTCATATTGATACTTATTTTATTCAATTGTAGCAATTGCTATTATGAAAAGGCACTTTGCTATTGTCAGTTGATTGCAATAAAACTTTCAGTGCACAGCATTTTAGATTGTTTTTATATAAAGTATCAATTTTTCTGTACATGAACATGTGAGGGATATGAAATATCTTTTCAAACCTGTAAGACTGAACGTTCCTACATTTACTTAGATTGTATTTTTAGACATTTTTCAATATCTTTGTTTACGGTCCACAGAAGAATGAAAGTCATACAGGTTTGGAACATAACAGCATGATGACAGAATTTGCGTTTTTGGTTGAACTATCCCTTTAAAATGTCATTGCAATTTTTAGTGCAGTTGCGTTCAGCTAAAGAATAAGGTTTCTGTACTTTTCTTTCACGGACCTTAATAAACAGAAGCATTTGTGAATATCTTCACTCCTTGACCCCCAGGGCTTTGTGGAAAGAGAGTGGAAATCATGTCTTTAAAGACACCATCTTAAAGGTGAGAATGGGATCTGACATATAGTCCAGTGTCTTATCAGGTCTGTTTGAGTCAGATGCTCTGGGGTGGATGAGTTGGTTGGCTGCAGGATGGTGTGTTATTATAACATGTCAGTGCTTGTTAACCTCCAGAGCAGTGTGGAGGAATCATGCTAAGAGTTGCTGTCCCTTCCAGCTGCTCACAAACCTGGTTTAATGATGGACATTGGCCATGCAGTTTCAGCATCTGGCTGAATTATGATGTCTGGATGAAGATGGGCCTTTGTGCTTTGTTTACCTAATGTTTTATGATGTTCTGTTCTGTATGTGTAATTGCAAATTATAGCAGTTATCTCCTAGGCCTTCAAATTTAGCATCTTGGCTTTGCTGATATTTAACCCAGACACAATGGAATGGTTCACTTTTGTAAAACTATTCTTGTTTTACTCTTTTCAAAGTCTGCTTGGTGACACTTCTTTTGTAGCCATTTTCACTGGCAGAGAAAAGAATATGCAATATAACTGCATGGTCAATTTTGCCAGAAACTCAGTTACTTCAGTAGGTCTCTTGCACCCTTAATAGAAGCCAATTTAGATGACGAGAACACACTTTTGAATTTAAAGACTCATTGAAATCGTTTTGCAAGCAGCGTTTGAATGGGGAATATCAAATGCTAATTTTGGCTTTTGTTAGGTCAAGGTCCTTAACTATAATTAAGTTGTAACTTGCTAGTTAGTTGCAGATTTTATTTGCCTAAAGGTAAGTCCTAAAGGTGCGGTATGTAAGATTTGGTACTCTAGCTAGCGGATGAGGTGAGTTACTCCCGAAAGAACATTGTTTTGCTAATTACATGAGTTGGGCTTAGCTATTCAGCGGAGATAAATATGATGATTTATGGTGATAATTATGATTTTAATATTTTGCAACTTTAATTTATTCCTGTAATGGCAAAGCTGAATTTCAGCATCATTACTCCAGTAATGTGTCACATGATCCTTCAGAAATCATAAAGCATTATAACATGCTGATTTGCTGCTCAAGAAACATATTATCATCAATATTGAAAACAGTTGTGCTGCTTTATATTTTTGTAGAAACAGTGATGTGTTTTTTATAAAGTTCGAAAGAACATAATTTATTTGAAATGTATTTTTTTTTTGTAATATTATAACTGTCTTTACTGTTACCTTCAATTTCTTTAAAAAATATTTACTGACCCTAAAACTTTTTAATGTCGTCCACTTTTGTTTTGTCTCTTTTAAAATAATGTTACAAGAGAAAAATGTCAAACCGGCAGCTCAAATTATAAATCGTTATAGTTCTGTCATCGTTACAGTTTGACATTATTCTTTTTGTAATATTATTTATTTCAAAAGAGACTTTAAAAAAAAAACCTGTAAAATAATGTTGGTTTACCTTAAAATTTTAAGTTAATTGAAATTAAAAATGTAGTTAAAACAATGGAGATTAGTTTAATCAACAGTAACTCAAAATATGATGTTATATGAACCATATAAATTTGACAAGTTGATTTGACAAAAGAAAAAAAAATGTTGTGAAAAATCATGTAATTAATTTTTTACAGTGTACAGTTGTGAATCTGTGTATGGGAGAACGTTTGTGCTCGTTTAAAGATTTGAGTTCATTTTTAACCAAACAAATCATGTACATAACCTAAATATCTGCTAAATGTAAACATTTTGTAAATGTAATACGAGTACACTAGAATTTACACGACATCAAAGCAAATACAAATGAAGTGAAAGCCACAAACCTCTCATTTTAATTTCACGGGGACTTAAAGCTAAATCAGGCATGCAGTCGTGCTCTATGGCTCATTATTTTAATTTGCAATGTTTGCAGTGGGTGTTTATATATATATATATATATATATATATTGCTCTATTTGTGAAGCAATGGTGTGCTGTGTTTGACTGGTAATTAATGTGTTTGTGATGATGGCCTGATGTGAGTATAGCGAGAGGTTGTCATGTGGGATAGATGGTCCTGTCCCCTGTTGCTGTCCTGTCTGCTAACCGAGCGTGACGTGACCACCAGGGGCCAGGACCAAATCACATCACACCTATCATAACTCATCCTGAATCGCCAGCTAAAACTCCATTCTGCTCATGAATATTAATACTTCTCTCAAGCCATGATGTATGTGGGATTGTGTTTCTCGTTTCTGGGCCTGCGGGAGAAACTGCTCAAAGAATTTGTAAATACAGTCTCCTCGCTATCCTTCATTACATTACCTGTCTGAACGGTGTCGAATCAATTTGCTGACACCACCGCCTGTGCTTTGTGTCACAGGACCTATGAAAGCGCTGAATGGAATGGGAATTACTTTCTGATGAAAGCAAACCTGTGCCACAGGTGTGTGCCTTTGTGTCATTTGTAATATATCAAAAAAAGCATTCAGACACCACGCCTCTGTAGGATTACAATGAATCATGGTTCTGGGCATTGGGATGCACTGCTCAATAACATTCAGAGCCGGGGTCATGTTTCTGTCAGACCACAGCAGAAATCAGATGGATGGATTAAAGAAGATAAAAGAATACAGACAGCTGCCTTGGGAAAAAAGATGGAATGGAGAATAGAGATGCAGATTGTGTGTGTTTACAGCAGCGTGATAGTTATTTTGTCTGCTTCAGCTGCGTCCCAGCCTCTTAGCAAGGTCGAGCTGTCCGACAGGCCTATCAGATGAAAAACAAAGAACGAGTCTCTATAATATCTCACAGCTGAGCAGGAGAGGTGTGCTTGTCTGATAAAGACTAGAATGTAATAATAATAATAAGATCTTTCATTGCAATAGACACCAGTGGAGACCTTGAAACATGTCTTTGTAATTACACAATTGCCTTTGTGATATATTATATGAACCTGATGTATTTATTTTTTTACTGATGTCAGAGCTCTATGAACAAATTTTATGAAGCTGTAACCACATGTTTTTCCATTGATGTCAATTTAAAAGTTTAAGACAATTTAATATGTTCAGGGAAATGTAGTCAGCTGGCCATATTATTTCGCAAAATAAGAATTTTGACTGTACATTAAACCTCTGTACATTTGACTGTAATTCTCAATTGAGCCAAATGTTACATTTACATTTATTCATTTAGCTGACGCTTTTATTCAAAGCGACTTACAATCGCTATATATGTCAGAGGTACCTCTGGAGCAACTAGGGGTTAAGTGTCTTGCTCAGGGACAGTGGATAAGAACCCGGGTCTCTCACACCAAAGGTATGTGTCTTATCCACTGCGCCATCACCACCCAAATGTTTGTTTATTGTTTAATTAGTTCTAAATAGCAGTATGTGATGACCATTTAATTCGATCTCATATAAATAAACAAGCCTCACATGTTGCCAGCTATAATCACTGCTAAATATCACCGAAAACTGTATTTTTGTTCTCTGCTTTTGCTTGGTTGTTGAACACCCAACTCTCACTACAATCTACAGCTATCCATAATAGATGAGCTTTAAAATGAGTGGTTTTCTACGGGACCTCAGCACTGCTTTAATGAGCTCTAGTTCCAGGCAATGTGAAATCTAAAGAATTTCAGGTGAATATTACTGTCTTATTTATTTGCCTCAGAGAAAGTGTTTAGTTTACTTGTTATTGTTTAAAGAGGGAATGTTCTTACCATCTCATTTTGCTGCTTGATGTGTTTTAGATTGTGCCAAAGGGTTTCATTATTAACCTCCCCATTAAATCCAGTCTCTTTTTAGCTATTGCCGTTAAGTGTTACGTAAATTACGGGTTTCATTAGAGGGAAAGCGATGTCATTTAGACTGGTTAAAGTATTGATTTCTGTGCATCACAGTGGTCTTCCCTAACCTGAGCTTCAAGTATAAACATATGAAGCATGTCTACATGAACCCTTCTGAGAGTTCACAGTTGAATAAAATCACTTGAAATGCTTGGAATCTGAATTGATTTAAATTCCCATAAATCCCAATTAGTGGTGTTCACACAAAAGAAATGCCTTTTTTTTTTTTGTAAAATTGTTGTCATTAGACAAATGCAACTTCAGCTACCATTTACAGGTGCACCATTAAAGGGTTAGTTCACCCAAAAATTAAAATCAAGTCATTAATTACTCACCCCCATGCTGTACCAACCCCGTAAGACCTTCATTCATCTTCAGAACACAAATGAAAATATTTTTGATTAAATTTGAGAGGTGGATCACTGCTACATAGGCTCCTAAGGGATTGAAACTTGACGGCCCAGAAAGTCATTGAAGAAAATATTTAAATATTCCATGTGACTACAGTGGTTCAACTATAAGTTTATCAAGCGACGAGAATACTTTTTGTGCGGAAATAAAACAAAAATAACGACTTTCTCACGCATGCGTCGAAATGAATATTTGAAAAAAAGTTGTTATTTTTGTTTGTTTTTGCGTACAAAAAGTGTTTCCGTCGCTTGATAAAGTTAAGATTGAGCCACTGTAGTCACTTGGACTATTTTAACAACGTCTTTAATAACTTTCCGAGGCTGGCAAGTTTCAATCCCTAAAGAAGCCTATGGACTAGTATGGAGGAGTGATCCAGCTCTCAGATTTAATCAAAAATATCTTTATTTGTGTTCCGAAGATGAAC